AATTACAATATTGTAATGGTTTTTGCCATACATCAACATGAATCGGCCACAGGTATAGTGTTCCCCCCATCCTGAACCCCCCTCCCACCTCCCTCCCTACCCTACCCCTCTAAGTTGTCCCAGAGCATCAGTTTTGGGTGCCCTGCTTCACGAATCAAACTCGCACTGGACATCTATTTTACATATGGTAATATATATGTTTCAATGCTAGTCTCTCAAATCATACCACCTTCTCCGTCTCACATTGAGTCCAAACGTCTGACAAGAGACCCACCTCAAACCTGGGGACACATACAGGCTGAAAGTGAGGGGCTGGAAAAAGGTATAGGTTCTTTTTTTAAAAACTCTCCAGGTGATTTTAAAGCACAGACAGGATTGAGAACCATGGTCTTAACACAGTACAGGACCCTGAGGACTGTGGCCACAAACGTGCACAGAGCACAGTTTCTGCTCTGTCAGCTGGGAGAGGCATTGTGGAGCCCTGAACCACCATGCAAGTCTAGCCAGCTTGAATCGCCATGCTGTGAGGAAGATCAAGCCACATGGAGAAGTCACATATTCTCGATGCCCTGGCTGAGTTCCCAGCCACTATCAGCTTCAGCTGAGTAACTGAGTGACTGGCAGATTACTTATGAATTCTGGGATGTGAAAACATCAATATAAATAAATGTGTTGGAATACTGTCTCTGAATTTGCATCAAACATTCATTTTCTAGTTTTCCTCTAAATCTAAGATCACTCTTGTTCAAGCAGTAAATGAAATTACACGTGTTTGAAGCCACATACTGAGTTTTTCATGTTTTGAATAGAGATTATATTTTAATTGAAATAGGTGGATAAAATACTCTGAAAATGCTATGAAAAGGTCTACAACATAAAGCTGCCTAACTTCAAAGAGACAACCAGTATTATTTTGAAATATCACAGAAATGAATAAACCATTGGAACTGTGATCTAGAAGGCTGAATGGGGGTCCCCCCAAAAAAGGCATGCATGCATGCTTTGTCGTATCCGACTCTTGGCAACCCCATGGACTGTAGCCCACCAGGCTCCTCTGTCCACAGGATTTCTCAAGCAAGAATACTGGAGTGGGTTGCCATTTCCTACTCTAGGGGATCTTCCCAACCCAAGGATTGAACCCATGTCTCTTCCATCTCCTGCACTGCAGGCATTTTTTACCACTACACCACCTGGTGCATGTCCTAATCCCTGGAACCTGTGAATGTTGCCTTATTTGGAAAGGTCTTTGCAGACGTAAGTAAGGCTCCTGAGATGAAGTCATTCCAGATGATACATAGGACTTAAATCCAATGACAAGTATCCTTCTAAGGGGCACACAGGAGAGATTTAAGACCGACAAGGAGGAGGCACTGTGACCACTGAGGCAGAGATCTGAGCAAGAAAGCCATATGTTACTCAGGATTACTTACAGCCACCAGAAACTGAAAGAGGGGAGACAGAGATTCTCCACCGTAGCATCAGAGGGAGTGTGGCCCTGTCAACAACTAGATTGCAGAACTCTGGCCTCCAGAACTGTGAGAAAATAAATCTCTGGTTTACCAACCAGTGTGCAGTAATTAGTTACAATAGCTACAGGAAATTAATATAGTTGTAAAACAACAATATTTATTCATCTAACTTTCTGCTTCCACTACAACTGCAAAATTTAATAAACTGCAGTTTTATTTTTTGTATTTGTCCTTATGCTTCTACCTACAAGACAAACCTCAGTTAAAAATACCATTTCTATTATAAAAGTGTCAGATTTTTATTACTCTATTATTTTCCTTTATGTTTAAAGCTTCCCATGCATTTTTTTTTGGGGGGGGGGGTCTTTTTAATGTATGATCTAGCAGTGATTTTCAGGCTGTATTTACCAGCAATCTTTTTTTAAAGATTTTTTTTAATGTGGGCCATTTTTAAAGTCTTTATTGAATTTGTTACTGTAACACTTCTGTTTTGGTTTTTCAGCAACAATGCACGTGGGATCTTAGCTCCCCAACCAGGGATCCAACTCACACCCTCCACACTGGAAGGTGACATCTCAACTACTGCACCACCAGTGATGTCCCCCTAGTGTACAAAGGTAAGCACTGATTGAGCATTCTGAATTCTGCAGAAACTTGTTTAAAAAAAAAAAAAATATATATATATATATATACATATACACACACACACATATATATACATACATACACACATATACACCGCTTTCCAGTGTTTCAGTGGTAAAGAATCCACCTACAATGCAGGAGACTTGCAGGAGAGATGGGTTCTATCCCTGAGTTGGAAAGATCCCCTGGAGAAGAAAATGGGAACCCGCTCCAGTATTCTTGTCTGGGAGAAAACCCACGGACAGTAGCCCGTGGGACACACACACACACACACACACACACACACCAGAAAGGATAATGGGACACACACACACACACACACACACACACACACACACACACACACACACACACACCAGAAAGGATAATGGGACACACACACACACACACACACACACACCAGAAAGGATAATGGGACACACACACACACACACACACACACACCAGAAAGGATAATGGGACACACACACACACACACACACACCAGAAAGGATAATGGGACACACACACACACACACACACACACACACCAGAAAGGATAATGGGACACACACACACACACACACACACACCAGAAAGGATAATGGGACACACACACACACACACACACACACACACACACCAGAAAGGATAATAATGAGAATGCTATCTTTGCTAGAAAGTGTAGGAAAACTGTTTGTAGACAGGCTTTAAAAGCCTGGCAAATTCCAACAGTGGGACGTTCTACAAAATAACAATAACCATCAAAAATGAGGAAAACATGAGAAACTGTCAAAGCCAAGAGGCACCTATGGAGACATGAAGGCTAAATGTAATGCTGCATCCTGGAACGGAAAAAAAAAAAAGAACATTGGATAAAAATTATGGAAAACTGAATGATGACTTTAGTTAAAAATAATATAGCAATATTGGTTCATTAGTTTGAGTAAACTCCGGCAGTTGGTGATGGATAGGGAGGCCTGGGGTCGCAAAGAGTCGGACACGACTGAGCGACTGAACTGAACTGAACAAACGTGCTATATAAATTTTAAGATGTTAACGAATAGATGAAACTGGTTGCCCGCTGTATCAGAATTCCCTGTACTATCTTCTCAATGTTTCTGTAAATTTCAAGCTGCTTTTAACAGTCACGCCTATTAATAGACACACACACATACCCCTCTATCAATATTCATATTTTAAGTAAGAAACTAAGGTTGAAGGAAGTGAAACATTTCATACAAATCAGCAATGTTCCTCGATTGTTTCCCAGAATGCTAGTCCATACTGCAAAGAGTTATTTAATAAGGCTAATTATTGGCGATGTTCTGAAAAGGGAACAACACCAAAAAACTTTCCTGGACTTGCAAAGGAAAAGGAAAAAGCAGCTGGTCCTGCTGGCAGTCAAGTTTCCAGGGCTAACTGGCGTGCCATCTGCTTGCCGCCGCAGAGCGTGGTAACCATGCTTCACGTGTCACTCCAGCGTTCGCGTTAGAAGTCGGCTCAACAAGCCTGGACAATTCCGCGGCCGCGCAGGTTGCCGGGGGAGGGGGTGGCGGCGGCAGCATCCAGAGTGTGTGTATCGTTTTCCCAAACTCCATCTGCTCCCTCGTCCCCGGGCTGTGCCCGCGGTCTCCCCGCGCGGCCAGCCGAGGGATGGGCGGGTATTTGGCGCACAACAAAAGAACGCTCGTCCTCCTCCCCCCGCCGCCCCACGCCGCCCCTGCCCTCGCTTCCCGCGGCCGCCCGGGCGCGCGTCCCCGGGAGGAATCGGCTCCTGGCCCCGAGGTTTCCAGGTACCCGGAAGGGGAGGGGGCGAGGCGGCCACAATTGGGCGGGTGAGGCCGAAACGCGCGCCCAGGAGCGCCAAGACGCGGAGGGCGGCGAGCCCGGGCCGTGCCGCCGCGCGATTGGCCGGGGCCGCCCTGCCGGCCGCCGCTGATTGGCGGATGCTCGAATTCGGTCTCAAGGCGCCAGAGGAGGTGTTTTAGCGGGGACCGCGGTCCAGAGCAGGAGTCGCGCTCGGCGGGCCGGGACGCTGGCGCTCCGCGAACGCCACGGGTTCCCCGCCAGCGAAGGGTGCTTGGAGCGGGGAGCTGCTCGCCTAGCTTTCCCCGCCCGATGTCGCCGTCCAGCTGCTGATCGAGTCCCCCAGCTGATCCCGCTCCACTGTGGGGCTGCGGAGGTCCCGGGAGAGGCAGGAAGGCTCCTTCGCAGAGTGGGAGTAAGTAGCGCTGGCAGGGAGGCGGGAACTGGGGGGAAAGGGGACCCTGCGGCTGCGGCTACCACTCTGCCACCCCTCCCCACCCCGGCTGGCGGGGAATCGAGGCATTGCTGCCTCTGGACCAGGCGTGCGTGGGGTGTCTGGGCTCCAGCTCGCCCTCTGGCCGGGCGGTAGAGAGAGAACCTGCCCTACCTCACGAGCTAGGGGTTTCATTGCAAGTTTATCTTTGGGGTCTGCTCGGAGGCCTGGGAAGGGACTGCGCTAGGCACTGAGTGGGTTAGGTCTAGCGATCAGGTTTCCTTCCCCCCATTCAAACCCCCGTCAAAGCCGAATTCCTCCCAGTTCTTTGCGCCAAAATTAACTGACCCAGGAGACCCTGTACTTTCTGACAGATTTGCCCTACACCCTCTTGACTTGAAACTTAATTTTGTCCTGTTACTTTTCATTAAAAATTACTATTTTTATCGGGTTTTTTTTTCTTCCCAATTTCAGTCATTGCTAAGCACAGCTTTAAGTGTTTGTGTTCGTTCGTGTGCGTTTTACAGACTTGGGGTAGGCAGGACCCTGGAAACTCCCAGGATGAGCTTAGGGAGGGGAAGTTCATGTTCATGAGCGAGTAATAGATATTTCTGTTGACGGAAAGAATATCCAACTGTAAAGTCGTTTTCTAATGTACATTACAGATGGAGGTAAACTGTCTAACACTAAAAGACCTGATCAGCAGGCCGCCCAGACTAGATTTTGCAATTGAAGATGGGGGAAATGCACAAAAGGTAAGTGAACTTAAATACCTTAAGCTCTATCATATTTATGATGGTAATGTCTAATTCAGTTAAGGATTCCAGCATCCCACTTGTATTTGTCTTATAAACATAATAATCTTGGTGAACATTTTAGAACTATGCTTTTTTTTTAAGGGAGGAGACATCCGGCCATATCCTTCAGTTTCTCAGTCACTACGTAGTGGAAAGAGGCTAGGTTACGTGTAATGCTGAAGCAAACTTATATGAATCAAAGATATGCTAGACATGCAGTCAAAAGATTGTATTACTTAGTTATCAAGAGTAGAATTAATGCATTAATGCAGATGAACTTGCAAAACAGGCTCACAGACTTCCAGTAGGAGCTTATGGTTGGGGGTGTAGGGAGAAGGAAGTGTTTAGGGAGTTTGGGATGAACAGGAACACAGTGCTATATTTAAAACAGATAACCAACAAGGACCTACTGTATAACACAGGGAACTCCGCTCAATGTTATGTGGCAGCCTGGCTGGGAGGGGAGTTTGGGGGAGAAGGGGTACATGTGTATGTATGACTGAGTCCCTTTGCTATTCACCTGAAACTCTCACAGCATTTTTTGTTAATCAGTTATACCCAATACAAAATTTTTTTAAAAAGTAGAATTAGCTAATGCTGGTCAGAAATGTTAAGTCTCAGTTCCCAGGAAAACTCTATGTGCTAGATTATTAAAGTATAGAGAGATGTTCTCCATACTGATCAACCAGCTCCTGGAGGCTATCCCATCTTCCCAAGAGCATGAGCAGGGCCTCCCGATAAAGTGAATATTCACCAAGACTGAATATTTTCAGCACTCCTGCTGGTTTTGCACTGAGCCGTCCCTTGTGGTTTTGCATGCCTTGTAATTTGTAAGACAGTGGGGCTGTGTTCAAGAAACATTACGAAGTAACCAACCATAGCAGTGTCTAAACAGGACTCGTGTCATCACAATGCCCTTGCCAGCCAGTGCCCTACTGAGTAGGTGGGAAAGCTTGTTAGTAATGAACATCTAAGCATTTTGAGGCAGAGGCAAGTAGATATGACATAGCCAGGTTTAGAAACTTTAAATATCAATCTGAGCACAGCCACTTCCTTAGGCATTGAACTTCTCTCGGTCCCTGAGCTTAATTTTAGGCTTAGTGTCCATCATGAAACTGCCTGACTGCAAAGCACCTGTTATATGGGCCTTTGAAGAATACTTGACAACCATTAATTTTGGATAGGTGTAAAATTAGATGCTTTTTCATGTATGATTTCCACCCTCCACCCCAGCATTTGATTTATTTTTGTTGCAAAAAGAAGTATACCAAAACATTAATGTTTTTAAAGAGGACTTCTAAAAAATTCCACTTGCCATATGAGACTGGCAATGCCCAGGCTTTAGAGTATATATTCAGAGTTTTGATTTTGCAAGTTTCAGAGCAAAACTTTTTGTTTTTCTTCATAATTTGGATGGGACAGCCTTGAAATGTGTATACCTTTAAGTAAGTAAGTAAGTAAGTAAGTAAAATTTCACTCAGTCATGTCTGACTCTTTGAGACCCGATGGACTGTAGCCCGTCTGGCTCCTCTGTGGGAGTCTCCAGGCAAGAATACTGGAGTGGGTAGCCATTCCCTTCTCCGGGGGCTCTTTCTGACCCAGGGATCAAGCCTGGGTCACCTGCATTGCAGGCGGATTCTTTACCGTCTGAGCTACCAGGGAAGCCGTGTGTATACCTTGGCACAGAGACAAAGCCAAGGGGGGAGAAAAGGCAAAGTTGGTATCCACTTCTTTCCTTCCAAGTGGGTGATTTTTTATCAAGTGCTTTCAACAAGGGTGCTTTCCTACTCTAGCCCAGTAAGTACTGTGCCTGGCTGAGCTTTCATATGTTAGCGGGTTTAGAGAAAACTCCAGATGACTCCATAGAGATTTAGGAAAGTGACTAAAATGTTTGAGATAGAATGCAGGGCTTATTTCACCTGTCAAAGAGATGGCAGAGGAAGAGATGAGTGCTCCAGGAGATGCTCGATGGGGCTTTCATCTCTCTTTTCACATTGCTGGAAAGGAAAGGAAAGAGGAATTCTAGGGACGCTGAGAATGTGGGATTTGGAGTCAGATCTGGCTTTGAGTTCCTGTTCTACCATTTGTTAGCTCCGTAAGCTTGAATAAATTTATTATTCAGTTTTTCAACAAATATTTATGTTCCAGTTGCTGGGGGTACCATGTTTTAATAAATCTCCTAGCTTCCCTAAGCCTATTTTTTATTTTATGAATTGGAATTATTAAGTAGATGCTCTTCTCTGGGTGTCTGTAAAGCACCCAGCAACCCATGTTGTTCACCCTTACTCAATTGAACTGACAGCTCAAAGATAAATATGATGCAGGCCTGGCCCTCAATTACCTCAGAGATGATTCAGGGGCTCAGATGTAAACTCACCAACTAGCCTGTGATTTGTTAAGTGCTCTAGGAGTGGGAACCAGTTGCCCCAGCAGAATAGAAGAGTAAGAAAGAAATTCACGAGGAGTCTAGAGGAAGTTGGAAAGCTTCACTGGGGAGATAATACTTGGGCTGAGGACTTCAGCCTATCTGGGAACAAGAGGAATAAGATGGCCTTTGTAGGCAGAAGAATCATATGAGTCTGTGTGGCGTGGACATTCAAGAAATGTTCAAAATTTCCAGAGTGGCCAGAAGCCAGTGGTACTGCCTGAAACCCCCTGGTGGGTGCCTGGAACAGTGTCCTATGGGTCAGTCAGCATGTAGAGGACTTATCTTTCTTGATGGTCTGATCTTCATTGGTCACAGGCTATAGTACTGCATACTTCTTACCACTCACGGAGAAACTTTTCTTTAAAACATAAAGTTTACTGTGCCCAAGTTGTGAGATTATAAACAAGACTCTCCTTTTCGGTTGTCTGTACTGCATTTAGGAATGACAAAAGAAGAAAAAGGATGGTTTGGGATGAAGGAGTGGACAGGAAAGATTGCGCTTTGGGAGGCCTGTGTGAAGGGGGTGACACTTGAGCTAGGTCTTGAAGGAATGAACGCTAAGACTTAGGCAAGTGGAAAGGAAGGACACTAGTAAAGAAGTGGAAGCTAACATAGTAAATTTGGGGACCTCACCTAGACTTAGTGGGCATGGCTTTTCTTTGAAGGTCATTCGTCTTTTGCATGCTAAGTTGCTTCAGCTGTGTCCAGCTCTTTGCAACCCTATGAACTATAGCCCATCGGGCTTCTCTCGCCATGGGGTTTTCCAGGCGTGAATACTGCAGTGGGCTACCATGCTCTCCTCTAGGGGATCGTCCCAACCAGGGATCAAGCTCAAAAGAAGGTGAGTTCAACTCGAAGCATTTATTTATACTCGTGTGCTTACAGGTAAATAAATAAATATGTGCAAGAGGCAGTTGGTTGCCTGATATGGGAATTCATGGAAGGTTCTAGCCAGATACAAACTTGGGAATTATCAAATACATGTTGGTTTTAAAGCCATGAGTGGGTGAGCTGCCCTGGAGAGCAAATAGGGAAGTGTGGAGGGCTAAGATTTCTAAGAGCAGAAAACAAGGAGCCTATGAAGGAGGCTGAGAAGGAACAGTCACAAATAGAAAGAGACCCAAGAGAGAAAAAGCAAATAGTCTTAACCGTAGCAGTGAGGTCAAATGCGGTTGACTTGTCACCTAAGATGTGATCTAAAGGAGAGCAGTGAATAAGAGCAGACTGGTGGTTTGAGGAACCCCCAGATATGGGCAGGGGAAAGTCCTGGGTGCAGATTACTCATTCTGGAACATGTGCTCTGAAGGGGAAGAGCATGTGTCAATGACTAGGAGACATCTCCGGATATGCCTGTCATATTTGCAATGAGTCTTAAAGAGTAGTTGGGTTTCAGCGGGCAAAGCTTAGCCTGTGGCAGCAACGTGATGGTGTAAGCAGCGGTTCAGGTGTGATAAGAGGCGGGACAGGCTTGAAGAAACACGAGTGGACTGTTTATGCAAAATGTAGGACATGCATGAAGTGGGACTGGAAAAGAGGTTGATACAGTATCACCAGGGGCCTTGAATGGGCTGCTGCTAAGGTGATCAAGGCTGTATCTGAGAGAGAAGCAAGGTCATTTCCAGGGTGTGGCAGCTTTTTCCTGGCAAGCAGATCTGATGTGGAGATTAGCGGACAGGTGGTGTAGGGAGTGCCCTGGGGACGGTGCCTGTTTAAGGAACAAGAAGGCAGCAGAGTGAGACAGCGGGTGAAGTGGAGCAGTAGATCAGTCTCCGTGGAACTCGGGTTCACCCTGAGGGAAGCTCTGGGATGACCCCCCCGGAGTGGTTCTGAGTCTGGGCAAGGGGACCAGGCTTCTCCATGTCGATGTGGCCTCTCCCAGCCCCTGAGGATGCTCCTGGTCTCTCAGGAAGGGGTGTGTCCTGGACGAGTCAGTCCTCTTCAGTCAAAGCATGCAGATGCTTACTGTTGGCATTAGTCCAGCGCTAGGGAAATGAGGCATTCATTCCTCAAGAGAGCTGGGTACACCCCAGTGTCCACTGCATGGCTGGGCAGCCTTGCTGGGAAGCCTTGGAGATAGGTACTTTGGTCTGAACCCCTTACTTTATAGATCCAGAAACTTGAGTCCAGACAAAACCAACACTGTCCAGTATCAACAAAATACCGAGTGGAGCCCAAAGCCTGGTTTCTCAATCCAGTCACTTCCTCCACCTTCCACAGCGTCAGGATTTGGGGATGGACAGACGGATGGAGCACGGTGTGATCAGGTTGCAACTGACTTTCTGCCCACCTGAGACCTCAAAACAATTTTCTGTCTTATTTTCTATTGATGTAGAGGTGTGGTAACGATCGTAACCTACCACTTGACCTGACTCCCCTCCTATTTACCCAGGGATTGAACTTGGGTCTCCAGCATTGCAGGCAGATTCTTTACCATCTGAGCTATCAGGGAAGCCCCAAGTATGACTTAAACTGTAGTGAAAATACATCAAAGTGCTAGAGGAAATAATTGATCTGAATTGCTCCTCAATACGGAAAAGTAGGAGGAGCTCAAGGTTCCTCGGAAGACAGCTACCACGGAGGCAGTGGAGGAGGAGGAAGACTCTCTGCCCCTCCGCAAGCCTGGACCACGCCCTCCACCATGGGGAGACCTTTTAAAATAACTCGATAATCAAAGCCCGTTGTTCCTTTTGCACCTATGAGGGGCAAGGCATTGTGCCAAAAATAGTGAAGAATGAGGCATGTGGAACTAGCTCCCTGACCTCCAGAGGTGCACAGTCTCCTTAATGAGACAAGACACACGCCCAGGAAGTTAAATAGCAATACGATGTGCTCTGTTCTACTAGCTCTGAGCTCAAGGATGGATGGTAATAAAGAACAAGAAAGTTGGCGGAGAGAATAGCTAAGTTTTATTGAGTGCTCACTATATGCCAGGAACTGTTCTCATAACTCTCGAGATCAGTATTTTTATGAACTCATTTTCAGTTGAGAGAATTAAAATACAGTGAGGAGAAGGAAATTGCCTGCACTCACCCTGCTGATGAGCTGGCCCTACCAGCCTGCATGCAGAACTGCTACCCATGCCGCCTCGCCCTAGATGTTTGTGGGGATCAGTGGCCTGCTGGGTACCCTGGAGCTGCGAAAAAGATAACTCCATCCCAATTCATACTCCAGACAAGCTTATTTCTAGATGCAGAATTTCGGAAACTTGGATGCAGGAATTCAGAAGATGTTATCAGCTATTTCTTGCCCTACCCATGACTTTTATACTGAATGAGTTTGTATGTGACCTCTGTGTGCCTCAGTTTCCTCATCTGTCGGCTTGAAAAATAATAGTACCTAGGTTAGAGGACTGGATGAGGAGTTAGTGGCGTAAAGTGCACGGACCAGGACGTCCCTGGTGGTCCAGTGGTTAAGAATCCATCTGCCAGTGCCGGGGATGTGGGTTCGATCCCTGATCCGGGAAGATTCCACACGCCACGGGGCAGCTGAACCTGTGCCCCACAACTGCCAAGGCCACCTGCTCTAGAGCCTGCGTGCTACAACCAGACAGGCCACTGCACTGAGAAGCCCGCTCACTGCAACTCGAGAAAGCCCAGGTGTAGGAACAAAGATACAGTGCAGCCAAAAAAAAAAAAAAAAAACTGCATGAAACAGGTATTGTCTGTAGCACATAATATGCACTCAGTACTTTCCCTTGAGAGTTCTGTAGAAGACTCATCAGAATTGCACTCTACCTGGGACTTGTTAAGAGATCTAAGGAGATATAGGCTGCATGCTGACTGCTGCAGTGATATAAGAAATTGTCACCCCCATCTCCGCTCCCTTCCCGTTACCCTAGGACAGAACTCACTCACCATGGCTAGCTGGCAGCTTCCACTGATCCAAGGAACAAGAGATGGCCTGCTACCATGAATTCCAGTTTCTCCCAAACAATTCTTTTTCCCTTTCCACTTGTTGCTCATTTATAGGAAAACACTTTTTTTAAACCACTTCTCAGCCAAAATCTAAGCATGCAGTAAGCTATAGAGTGATACTGTGTACAGGAATATCAAATATGCAACTCATCCACCTTGCTAATTATGTCAGGCACAATTGCCTGGAGGTGAATTCAACTATGGGAAGGGCAGAATCTTTTCTGGTTTTGAATGGCAAATCTTATTCTGCAGGAAAGATATTCATTTCAGAAACTAACTTCATAGTTTCAAATGTGAGTTCTGAGTACTCAGTCCTTTTTCTTAATGGATTAGCGGACCCATCATTAATCTTTTCTTATAATTAGCTAAGACATTTTACTTAAAGTTATGGTCTAGGGAAAGGTGCTAGTCCACAAACTTCTATCAAGCTGCAAAAAATCAATAGCAGAACTTGAGAGTTTAGCATTCAGAAACCTCTGTAGTAATTGGATCTTGCCCCTATAACATCTAAGCCTGTGATCAGTGGTCTCTTGTTGGACAAGCTATAGGTTGGGTTGAGTGGCCAACTCAAGGGGAGAGTCACATGTGATGGGAGTTGCGTGTGGGTTCTATGAAGGAAGACCTTGTGTCAGCCTGCGGGAGTTTGGAAGTGCCTTCAACAATGGTAGTTTGAGAAGCAGCACTCTAGGGGAGGGACCATACATTGCCGGATGGTTTGAAATGTGGCCTTCTGTGGATGTCCTTCCATTAACTGCTGTGTTAGCACTGGTGAACACTGAACAAAAACATAATCACTCTTCACTAGTTAGTGCAAACTTGTGAATAGTGTTTTAAAAATATGTCACTGAGAAGCAATATGGACGCAACCCACATTGGCTCTTATTGTCATCCCCGACTCTTATAAACATCCACCAGTGACAGATACTCTCATGCCTTCTTTCACACAGATGCTGTGAAAAATGTTTAAAAGGAGTAGCCAATTATAATCAGTTTCTCATTGGAACCACCTTTTGATTCCCATGGATCCTTCTGTTTGTCTTCTTTCGTCCTATCCTGATATTTTTCAGCCCTGGACATGTGGTCTGTTTGCAGTTTCTTGTCTTAGTGAATGATGGGATCAAAGTGCACTCTTAGCTGACACCTGCCCTTTCTCATTTTTGCTAAAAGGTCTTTTTTTTTTTAAATAGGAAAATATATTTGTTGATCTCTCAAGGATGGCCCCAAAGACGCCAATAAAAAATGAGCCAATTGACTTGTCAAAGCAAAAAATCTTCACTCCAGAAAGAAATCCCATCACTCCGGTTAAGCTTGCTGACAGACAGCAGGTAGAACCATGGACGCCCACCGCTAACCTGAAGGTGCTCATTAGCGCTGCCAGCCCGGACATAAGAGACCGAGAGAAGAAAAAAGGACTGTTCAGGCCCATTGAGAACAAAGATGATGCGTTTACAGCCTCCCTGCAGGTATACAGGCTGTACCCCTAAGGGCTTTCATAGAATTGAAAATTTTTAACCTCATTATTAAAAAGTCACAGAATTCTTAACTTTTTGGTTGCTATTGAGTTGAAAGTCCTCTTCTACTTAATCCTTTTATTTATTTACAGCTGAAGTGGGACTCTCAGTCTGTCTCATTTTTCATAATGAGTGTTTTATATTCTTCAGTTTTTTTTTTTCTCTCTTTACCAGTACGAGTTTTTTTAATGATAATTTTTTTAAGCAATTTAACATTGCTTAAATTATTGCTTAAAAAAGGTATTTAATAATTTTGATTTAATGAAGAAATTTGGATTTTTTAATGCTGCCATGAATTATAATTTTCACTCTGATTTAATAATAATCTAAATATTTGTGATTGGGGAAATTTTATCATTCTCCCATGTATGTTTAGTTCACTGGTTTAATGCTTTAACATTAAGTTGTCTTTAAATTACCTGTCCTGTAGGAACCAGGGCTCTTGAACAAGCAGCATATATATACTTTTTTTAAAAAGTCTTTCTTGGGACTTAAATTGAGCCTTTTTCAAATGTGGGTTGATAAGACAAGGGAACTTGTTTAATGTGCTTACAATAAGAAAGAGTGAGGAAGATTTAGCTGTCCTTGTTCAGGTCTGTCAACTCTTGGTAAATTGTGAAAAATAAGCTTGGTGACACAATGCAGGCAAGTCCATCTCAGATTTTCATGTTAATAGGAATTACACAGGATCTTAGGAAGAAACAGATTCTAATACATCAGGTCTGAGGGCAGGCCTGAGGTTTTTACAGCTGCTGCTGCTGATTTACAGCCTGATGAGCACACTGTCTCAAGGGTGTAGCAACCTGTAAATTATTGCGTTGTTCATTTTTTAATTTAACCAGTAGACTCAGCCTCGGGGCTTCCATGGTGGCTCAGATGGCAAAGAATCTACCTGCAAGACAGGAGACCTGGGTTTGATCCCTGGGTCGGGAAGATCCTCTGAAGACGGGAATGGCAACCCACTCCAGTATTCTTGCCTGGAGAATCCCATGGACAGAGGAGGCTGGGGGTCTGCAGTCCCTGGGGTTGCAGAGTCAGACACGACAGTGACTAACACACATGCAGAGACTCAGCCTCAAATCACAAAGGAGGAGGAGTTCCGTTCAGAGAAAGCAGTAGGTAAAAGGTTAAGAAAATTAGGTTAGGAAGAGTATTTTAATGAGAATTTGGGATGGTAAGGATGAGGATGGGGATGCAGTCCCACCCACTGCAATTTCTCCTTCAGGATGTTAACCGTGACATCTCCCCCCTCCCCTCTGTCTGCCCTCTGTAGCTTGATGTTGTGGATGACAGTGCTGTGGATGAGTTTGAAAAGCAAAGGCCAAGCAGAAAACAGAAAAGTTTAGGACTCCTGTGCCAGAAGTTTCTAGCTCGCTATCCAAGTTACCCTCTGTCAACTGAAAAAACTACCATCTCCCTAGATGAAGTTGCTGTCAGTCTCGGTATGTATCATGGGATCACCTGGAGGCCTGTCTCCAGTTATGGTGGGAAATTGAGTCCTCGGGCAAGCCGAAGGCTCCAGATCACCTCCTCTACTAAGTAAAGAGCAGGCCCTCCAAAAGAGTGGGGACAGAGGAGCAGGTAGAGTTTTTCTTCTGTCGTTATCGTTATGCATAGAATCCCAGGGAGCCTTCTAGGCCTGAGGGTCAAACAAATATTTGGTTTCTTTAACCTCAAAAAATGTGTTTGCAAAAGACTCACGTTACAAATTAATAGCTAACACCTTAATTCTATCTTATTTCAGACAGACTCAAAAGATTTTTAGAAATATCCTGCTGTTGATTTTTTTTTTTTAATGCTTCTAAGAGTTCAGAACTGCTATTATTTCTGTTACAAAGCCAAATTTGAAAGCAAGAGAGTTATGTTTGAAGCCCTGTACTGTGACCTTCACAGCAAGTCTGCCCAACTAGAAAAAGCACATCTGGATATAATTCAAACAGCTAAGCCTTATAACAAAGAGAAATACATCCGTCCACATGGTGTGACTGGGTGTCATGTACAGTGGTGTCTGGGCTATAAATAAATATGCAGGCAGCTGATCCAAGTAGAGACTCCTAGTGGACATGGCTTGCAGTTAGTTTCACAAGAACATACTGTTGACGATGAATAAGTAGAAATCACAATGATTTGAAGATGTCAGAGTGTCGCCTTAACAAATTAGGGCAATTTACATATAGGGGAAAAAAAGTCTCAAAGAAGTCAGCCTAGTAGTCTTTATGAGCCTGGAGGAGGACATGGCAACCCACTGCAGGATTCTTGCCTGGAGAATCCCATGGACAGAGGAGCCTGGGAGGTCCTTCGGGTCGCAAAGAGTCAGACACGATGGAAGCGACCTGACGCGCGCGCACACACGCATGCAAGGCTTTATGACAGATTATACTTTTAGTTGGTTTATTAGTTCTGTATCTTCCCATAGCCCTAAGAATGTGGCTCAGTTGATCCTTGTCAATCTGAATTATTCAAAAGGATGGTTAAAGAGATTTGCTGGAAATTGAAGTAAAGAGGAGCCAGTGGTTGCGATGGGAATACCGTGGGCTGGACTTTGGGTAAGACAGAACTGGATTTGAAGCCCAGCTTTCTAAAGTATAGACTGAGAGAGATTTGAAAAGTTAATTAATCTTTTCTCAGTCATAGCATAGAAACCAGAGCACCTACTTTGCAGAAGCTTAGAAAAGTTAGGAGTCATGTCAGTAACATCCCCAGCTCAGGGCCTGGCTTAGTAACTTATTGCTCCCTGGAACTATAGCTGTTATGAGAGGTTCCCCCTGCCCACTTCCACAACCCTCAAGCTGTCCTGTCAACCTGGACAGCCAGGAAAAGGAAGCAGAGAGCTTTGACAGGGGAGCTGTTTCAGAACCCAGGAATAGGATGCAGTATTCTGGCTTTGGTAGCAATGAAACGAGATGTGAGCCAGCTGGACAGAAGCTTGGTGTAGACGTAGCTGAGGCACTGGGTCCTAGAAACTAGTCTGAAGAGGTTGAGGGTAAAAGAACAGATCATACAATGCCTTTCTCATTGGGTTCCTCTATACACCCACCCCTTATCAAGAGATCTTGCTGATATCAAAGCAGAAGAGAACAGATTAGATGTTGGAAGGCTGCCTTACAGGTCCCAGGGAGGACAGGAGAGTGGACTCCTGCTCTCATATGGGCTGTGGGTCTCCTGTTATAACCATCTGGAGCAGAAGTCCATGGCTGTTGCAACAACTTCCTACTGTGTCATGATTTTCCAGGCCTGCCAAATGAACTTTCTGTCTCTCTTCATGTGAGATAAGACGGGGTCCCTTCCTGGAAGCTACTTCCAGGGTAACCATCTCCTTAATTGAGTCTAAATTCCTGGCCCTATCCCAGGTCACAAGCTGTAAGACCAGACTTTAACCAAGGACCTGCAGAGCATTCAAATTGCACTGTTTCCCAGTTTCTGCTCTCATGTCGATTTGATACTGATATTACAGGTAAGACATTAAAGGGAATGACTTTAGTAAATGGAAAATTACACAGCCTAGGAAAATTTACTGGGCTGAGATGCTCTTGATAAGCTCTGTGGGGCATAGGGAAGCGTGGTAACAATGAGTAAAGGCTTGCGGGCATAACCAATGCCATGACTAGGATGAATAGGTTTGCCTTGAAGACAAAAGGAAAAGAAGGCTCAGCGCCAGGGACAGTCTTTCTGACAGAGCAGCCTGCAGGACTTGAGGTTTGTGAAATGCAGCTTTTAGACACACCCAGCCAGTGGACAGCTAAACTCAATCCAGATTGCAGAAATGAGTGATTAGTCAGGCAGCACACCTATTGTGCATGTCAGGCGGTATCTTACTGTCTAAGTGGTCCGAATCGTCCTTTTATTTCTTATTTCTTCCTTTATTTCTTGGGATGTCTAGCCACTAGATGGAGACTTAACAGCTCCTATCTAATACAAAATAACAAAACAGTCGGGCATATGGCTGGCCCTGGGGTGTCTCAGTTGCATTCACATGACATTTCTAATGGGAAGGTTTATGGCGAGTTACGTTCTAAACGAGATGTGTTAATATATGGAAAGAGACTGGACCCAGGGCCCAGGCAGATCTGGACAAGGGGCTGCTGACTGTCCTGCCAGCACCGTCCAGCAGGCATCTGGCAGCGGAGCGAGAGCTTTTGGAGGGTGAAGAGCCTTTCAGGGTCATGAGCTGAAATGTTCTGATTGACTGTGAAATGCCTCTTCAAGCGGGGATAGCACTTCCTCTCAGCTCCACAGTTTTCTTGTAATCTGGTCTATTTCTTGTGTTAAGTCTTTGTAAAGCCAAGAGCTGCATACCCTGAGTCTGCTCTGATTATACAACAGCTGTTGGCAAACGAAGGGGAAGAGGCATTTTTGTTGCTGGGCCCTTTTGCTTGGAGATGCCTGGCAGCATTTGTTACGGATACTTAGGCAAGAGCAAGAAGGGCCAGTGAGTCCCAAAAGCCTAAGTGTCTATTGCATAACAGGATGAGACACAGATGGGAGGCTTAAAAAATCTGTTTCTACTGTCACCTTGAATGCCAGCAGGAATTTTAGATATCTCCAGCGCCACACAGGACGTACTTACAAAATAATATACAAAGAGCAGATAAATTAACACCTGTCAGAATCCCTTCAAGTTTATTGTCGCACTGAATCCTCCTCATTTTGTGAGATAAATACCCAGGCACAGAAAGAGTAAGTAACTTCCAGGCTCACCCAACTAGTAAGGGATAACACAGGGATCCCAGTCCAGGCAGTCTGACCCTGAAGACCCCACGCTTAACCCATGGAAATATTTTTAGTAAATTCAATAGACCACTGATAATCCTGGATATTTAGGGAGTGCTGCGTAAGGTAGGGAAGCTGTGAGCTGGCTGGTCAGCCTGTGCTCCTCTGTTGGGCCGTGTGGCAGGACACGGAGCGTGAACATGGGGGATTGTCTGTGGCTGCGACAGGCACACAGAGACCTGTATGTGCCAGCCCTGGCCCTGGCTTCCGCCTGCACCCTGAGGAGGGTGCCCAAGCTCTTGACTCCTAAGTTTCCAGCACAAAATAGGAAACAGAATATTTACCATCTGTGTTCCCTACTGGCCATTACAAGAATTAACAGTGTAATTTTTTCACATCATTCAAACTTCAGGAAGGAGAATATGGTCCAATAATGAGCTTACAGTTATTGGACACAGTTTTTTAGTCTGTATAATTAGGACTAACTACAAGTCAAAATCAACCGTCCAACCTTCATCAAGCATTTATTACTATGATGCATGTTGCTCAATCCCACCGGTTTTAACATGTTGAAATGTTCATGTGGTTTGCCTAACAGGTTCAAAGAAAAGTTGCTCTACTATTTATGTAATGCAGATGGAACTATCATCCATCTCAAGGTGGATGTTTACCCTAGATCTTATCAAGAGTTGGATCCCAAGAAGAAAAAAGAAAAATAATTTCTGTTGCTTGCATTCTCATAGGATGAATTTGTTGAGCAATTATATTTGCTGGGCAAAGCATCACACAAAATAGTTCACAGACAAGGCCCAAGCCTTCAAGGAATTTATACTCATAAATGTTCTTCGGGGCTTCCCTGGTGGTCCAGTGGTTAAGATTCTGCACTTCCACTGCAGGGGGCCCAGATTTGATCCCAGATCGGGGAAGTTCAGCATGACAGTGGTTGGCTTCTATTTTTCAAACAGGCGTTGAAAGGAGACGCATCTATGACATTGTAAACGTGCTGGAGTCGCTGCATCTGGTCAGCCGGGTGGCCAAGAATCAGTACGACTGGCATGGTAGGCACAGCCTGCCCAAAACCCTAAGGAACCTCCAGAGATTAGGAGAAGAGCAGAAATATGAGGAGCAGATGGCACACCTCCAGCAGAAAGAGCTCGACCTGATAGATTATAAATTCGGAGAACGCAGAAGAGATGGCTGTCCCGATTCCCAAGATCCACAGTTACTGGATTTCTCCGAAGCAGACTACCCCTCCTGTGAGTCCCCTGGGCCCACACCGGTCTCTTCTGAAGATGGGGAGGGCCAGATGGGCCACCCTGGAGGCATGTGGCCTCTCGGTCTCTCGCATGGAGACGGGCAGACAGATGGCTTCCCAACTGGGCTGCCCACTCCACCACACGGGAAACCTGTCTAGTGGCAGTTTCACTTGGTGTCTGGTGTGTTTGGATCATAGGTGGCGAGTAGCATTCCAGTTTCAGATTGACAGTCCCACACTGCTGCCTGTTTGTGAGCCCTTAAGGAAAATTTACTTGGAAAGAATTTCTCTCTTCAAGAGTCTATTTGTTCCATTATATGTTGGAGTGGACGACTTAGAAAAGAACCCAATTTGCAGGAAATGCTGATGAGGAAGACAGACAACCTTTCATTTGATACTGAATTTTTCTTACTTATATTGCATTACATTGTTCTCCCCCCTCCTAGCTGCCGTGTATGCTGTCCTTCTTTGATCTTTATTCTCACCCTAATCCTCCTTGCTAAGCTGATAAAGTGCAAATGTTCCTTATGTTTCACTTGCAAATATAAGAAATAGATATGGAAGGGTGGGCCTGGCTGTCATCCCATTCACTACCTCATGCCTTTAATTTCACCCTATGAACCAGTCTTTATCCAAATAACCAGAGGAGACAGCCATCTGTCGGGGATGATTTGATTGTCATCTGTGGCAACACACATCTAAGCAGTGTCTCTTGCTTACTTACTGTTTATTTCTTTAACTCATTTTTCCAGAGTGCAATGGAAGAGGTGGGCACCTCCTATGTGGATGGTGTGTTCGAGCTCTTGTGGGCTCAGAGAGATACAGGTGGAGTCTTTGCCTTTAAGGGAAGAGTTGATGTTCTGAAAGCAGTTCCTGATCCACACTCTGTCCTTTCACCCTTCTCCTCTAGTCTTTTCCAAAATTGCTTCATAGATTCTATCCAGTGGAGCATGAGTATAAAGTATTTCAGAATTTATACCAACTATAGAATAATTTTAGGACCCGAAAAAAAATCTATCTTGTTTCTTTATGAACCATCTTATTGTGATGTGTGGCCAAGTGGTGATCAAAAGTGATCTCTCCATCTGCTAACAGAGTTAGATAGGTCTGGCAAACTATAAGTACAGTCTTTCTTGTGGTAGATTATATGTTCTGATGCTTTTGTTTCATTCCCTTTGTAGCATCTGCAAACAGTCGGAAAGACAAGTCTCTGAGAATTATGAGCCAGAAGTTTGTCATGCTGTTCCTGGTCTCCAAAACCAAGATAGTTACTCTTGATGTGGCTGCCAAAATACTGATAGAAGAAAGCCAAGATACGCCAGACCATAGTAAATTTAAAAGTAAGCATCTTCACTCAAATCCACTTAGCACAGAAAGGGTGGGGTTTCATCAGTTGATGTTTGCAGCTTTGGAGACTTTTTAGCAAATTATTTTGTTGAGATGTACACTCCTTCTTGCCTTCTTTAAGCTTCTTGGTGCTGTAAGAGGTAAGTTGATCACATCCTAGAACTCCTGTGAAAGTTCTGCCTGATGCCTTTTCCTCGGCAGAGTGGATGCTGGAGGCAGAATGGCATCCCACAGATGCATGTCAGGGAGCGTGTCAGAGGCTTTGAGTTTCTCTTTAGCATCGCTGCATCCAAGATGGAATGTCTGAGTTTTCTTTCCCTTTTCTCCTCACCCCCCGCATACTCTTCTGATGGGTGGACATGAAAGTTGTCTACAGGTAAGAACCAGAAGAACAGCAGGGGAAGGGGTGGGGGGAGCGGTGGGACATGGATGCTGGACAGGAGAGTATTTCGAGTTTCACACCCAGAACATCTTCCTTTTCCACCAGGCCTGGGTCCTGAGCCAGAGACCCTGGCTGCTGGTAGCTCATTCAAGCCCTGGAAACTGTGAATTCAACATTCTCTAGCTTTTGTTTGTTTCCAGCTGGAAGTATAGCCACCCTGTGGGAGAAAGGACTAAATAAAATCCAATTCTATCAGGATTGGGAAGAATACTGCATGTGGGGTGAACTTGAGGTTCAGGCCGATAACCAGAGCCCTCTGCTTATCCTAGCCCTGAGTTCAAGTGGCTCTCCTCCCTGCAAGTTGACTTTTTGGGTAGAGCTTACTTTGTGGGCATCATCCTGCCCGTCTCATGTGTTACCGCCCACCCCTCTGAATTCCTCCTCCAGTGCATGTGTTTTCAAATGTCTCTCCCTGAACCTCTCAGACTCAGGGCATGCCCACCCAGCCCTCCCCCACTGGGCGTCCGCCAGGGCGAGAGGAGAGACGCTGACTGTCTTCAGCACAGTCATACCGCGTGACCTCAAGCCCTGGACAGCCTGTGTGCCGGCAGTGCAGCCTCGCCAGGAGCTCCAGGCAGCCCCTGTCACTGTCACAACCCAGCTGCCTGGGAGAGCAGGTAGCCCCGTCTCCTGCAGGGAGAGGCTCCAGGCAAGCTTCTGACAAGCCACAGATCAGAATGACATTTCCTAAAGCCTTTAATTACAGCCCATTTGCCTCCCTCGGTGTTTTTGCAATCACAGTGATCCCAGCCTGTTACCAGGTGCCTCTGGTAGGAAGCGTGAAGCTGTGAAAGCAGAAGGACACCCTGACCTTCGCTGAGTGGGGTGATCAGACACTGAAATCCTAAGTGATTTCACGTGGGAGCCACTGGCCTCTCATGCTACCCCACTGCTCTCTGCTGGAGGCTGCTTTGGTGGCTGAGAAAGTGACCTGTCACACAAACTAAGGTAGTGATGTCCCGGACCAAGGTATGGTGTGACCTGTTTTTTATGTCTTCAAGCAAAGGTACGACGCCTCTATGACATAGCCAATGTGCTGACCAGCTTGGTGCTGATAAAGAAAGTGCACGTCACGGAAGACCGAGGCCGGAAACCTGCCTTCAAGTGGATCGGCCCTGTGGATTTCAGTTCCACGGGTAAGGCATGGTGTTGCTCGAGACCATCTCATGCATAATCCCCAGTTGCTGTTTTGAAACATGCACCTATCACATGGTGAGATTGATCTTCACCTTCATCTCCCATCACCCACGTCACATTCAAAATTAGACTTATGCCGCCAGCCTGGGAACAGTGAGCCTTAGTCTACAAGTGGTTATGCTGGCAGCTCACACACAGAGAGCTTAGAACTTGGCAGTTTCTGAAACTATTAAATTAATAGCTCATTGGCTTTTTTTAAAATTTCATTTCAAAGTTCCTGGAAGTTTGGGCCTGAGGATTAAAAATAATGCTTCATTTTAACAAGTTTTTGGGTTTTTTTTTTTTTAATTTTAAAAATGATGCTTCTTATGAACTCTGGTTGTTTCTGCATTAACAGAATAAAACATTGTTTTTCTTTGAAGTTCCAGATAATGTAAAAATTATATCAGTTACTGTCACAAAACTCATAGTTGGTAAGATGACACCTAAACATAGTATGGCTGTAATGAACACCTTTTCTGTAATTTATTTAAAACGTCGCAAGCGTCATAATTTTACTCAATTAGAGCAAAAGAGGGTATTATCTTCTACTTATTTTACAGGTAGTATTTGTGCAACTGGGGACTGGATCTTTCTGCACCAGCTACTTATGTATAGCTATACTGCCTGGAAAAAAGCCATTAAAGTTATTTTTAAATTGCCCTTCCAATGTTAGTCTTATTAGTATAAATTCCTGCACTTAACCCAGGCTTATAAAAGATATAGCTCTCTACCTCACTTTCTAACACATTATTCACTTAGAAACTAGATGAAGCCACTTATAACCAAGTATAATTAATTCAGCAAGTACTTACTGCATGTGAACTATGCAAGCAAAGTTCATTTTATTACACTGAGCAGGTAATGCATTTTTCACAAATTGAACATTTGTGGCAACTGTATGTTATCAGGTGATACTTAGTATTTTTTAGCAATGATGTATTTTTTAACTTAGGTATGTACAGTATTTAGATATGATACTATTGCACGATACAATATAGCATAAACCTAGCTTTTATATGCACTGGAAAAACAAATTCATGTGACTCGTCTTATTGCAGTAGCCTAGAACCAAACCCACAATATCTCTGAGCATGGCATTACTAATGCCAAGGAAAACTCAGAGGCTTTATGATACAGTCCCTGCCAGTATGAAATGTACAACTTTGCCACTTTCTACTCCTGTTTTTGGCTTATCCTTGGGTTTTTACCAGTGAAGCTCTCTTCCCTGTTTCAACATAAAATATTCTACTCAGCCTTCAATCTGGTTCAAATGTCAGCTCTTTCATGAAGTTTTCCCCAATCACTTCTTGCTTCAGAACAAGAAGTGTCTCATCTGAACTATTGTAATTTAGTATCTTAACATTATACCTGGGGATGATATCATGGTATTGTCCCTGCTGTACACATTTGAGGCAGACACAGTTTTTATTCACCTTTGATTAAACCCTAGCATCCAGACCAGTGCCTTATGTACTTCAGTTGGTTAATGAGCTTTACTGAAGGTGTATAATTAATATACCTTTGAAAATCAGAGAATTCTTAAGCACTGCATATGATAGTACTGGCTCTGTAGGAATTCAGAGATGATATGGATTAAGTTCTGATGGACCGTTAGGTTTTGGAGGGATGGAGAGCTTTTTTTTTTTTAGTTGAAGGAACAGATACCTAAGAACATCTCTGGCTTGTGTCAGAGAACTCAGGCATCCTGACTTAAGTGGAGGACCTAGGACAGGAATAATGAGAAGTAAGACGTGATCATTTGGGACCACATTTTGGAAACCCTCAAAAGTTAGGCCAAGAAATCTGTACTAGTGGGTAGAAGTGACAGGGGTCTTTAGATAAAGAGATTAAAAGAGAGGAGGGATTCAAAGTTGGTGGTGTCACTGAGGAAAATAAGATAGCCAGAGAAATGAGCTGGTGTTGAGAAGTCGAGGAGTTTGTGGATTTATATAACCAGTGGGTCAGCCCCTGGGAGCGCTCTGATCTGTCATGGTAGAGAGGACTTGGCACTAGGTCAGGAACCTCAAATTGAACTTTCTTCCTCTATCCTTCAGAAACCTGGGCCTCCTTCTGTATGCCCTATTTCCATTACTGACAGCACCTTTGTCATGAGCCCAACAATTAAATTTGGAACATCAAGTTACCTTTGATTTCGTAATTCACTCCCCTTCACTCCTCAATTAGCAATTCACCTCTTTACTCTTTTCCTCCCCCACCATCAGGACCTTTCCTTCCTTTTAACAGCTTTATTGAGGTATCATGACATTCAATAAACAGCACCGTGGTTAAAGTTATAGTTTGGTAAGTTCTGCATCGTATGCCTCAGTGAAATAATCACTGCAACCAAAGCAGTTAACCCATCACCCTCCAAAGCCTCCTTCTGTTCCTTTGAATACCTCCCTCCCTTTCCCCACTCCCAGCAACCAATGATCTGCTTTCCTTCACTCGAGACGTTTTTGTATCTTCTAAAATGTTTAATAAATGAATCACACACAGTCAGTGCTTATTTTTGGCAGTTTCCGTATTTGCGAATTTACCAACTCCCTAAAATTTATTTGAAACTTCAGAATCAACACACACAGCGCTTTCTGAGTCGTTCACAGATCGCAGAGGAGCACAGGATTTTATTTGCCACTGCGCGTGTTCCCAGCTGAGGTCAGAACAAGGCAGCCCTCTGCCGCCTTGTTTCCCACACTTGTTTCTTTTGACTCATACTGTAAACAAGCATCCTTTTCATGGTCTTTTCAGTGCCGCGTTTTCATGTGTCTGTAGTTTGTGTTGGTGATCTTGCTGTTTAAAATTGTTCCCAAGGGTCATACTGAAACGCTGGATAGTGTTTCTGAGTGCACCGAGGCTGTGCTGTATCTTACAGAGAAAATACACGCGTTGGAGGAACTTAGTTCTGGCCTGAGTTCCAGTGATTTTGACTGAGTGCAGTGCTAATGGATCAACAAGGTGTTCTAAACGTGTCTTAAACAGGCTCATGAAACAGGGTTATGTACTGATCAGTTTATAAACATGTTTTGACCAGAGACTTGCAGAAAACTAACCCTGTATTTCCTTTGGGAATGATGGTTCAGTATTAACTAATTCAGTGTTCACAGTAACTTTATAGAACTTTACCACAAATAACGACAATCAGCTGTAGTGTGAATACTCTTTTTATCTGACTTCTTTCATTCAGCATAATTATTTTGAGATTAACTGTGTGGTAGTATGTATCGATGGTATATTCCTTTTTATTGCTGAGGAGTATTCATTGTATGGATATACTGTTCTTTATTCATGCACCTAATAGCGGACTTTTGAATTATTTTCAATTTAGAGCTATTACAAACAGAGCTGACTCATTAGAAAAGACCCTGATGCTGGGAAAGATGGAGGGTGGGAAGAGAAGGTGATGACAGAGGATGAGATGGTTGGATGGCATCAGTGACTCAGTGGACATGAATTTGAGCAAACTCCAGGAGATAGTCAAAGACAGGGAAGCCTGGCGTGCTGCAGTTTGTGGGCGGCAGAGTCAGACATGACTGACTAAACAGCAAGCAAAGATGCAGTGGATATTCATGTATATGTCTTATATGGAAACATGCTTTCATTTCTCTTGATTAACATCTAGGAGTGGAATAGGTGCATCACACGATAGGTGGATATTTAAGTTTTTGAGAAACTTCCAAGCTGTTTTCCAAAGTAGCTGTGACATTTTACATTCCCACCAGTGGTATATGAGAGTTCTGGGTCAGCCTTAGTTGCAGCTGTTCCAATAGGGGTGTAGAGGCATCACTGTTGTTTTACTTCGTGTTTCCCCCGTGGTGTTCAGTCCAACCATCTGGTATCATTTGTCTTCTGTTTGATGGGCTTTCTTTAACATTTCTTAGAGTGCAGGTTAGCCAGTGGTGAAATCTTCCAGTTGTTGTATGTCTGAGAACATCTTTATTTCACCTATGTTTTTGAAAAATATTTTCCTTGGGTAAGGATTCTAGGTTGGAGGGTTTTTTCCCTTTTGGTACTCTAAAGAACTGGTTCCACTGTCTTCAAGCTTGCATTGTTTCTGACAAGAAATCTACCGTCATCCTGAATGTGTCTTCTTTTTTCTTGGTTACGTTTAATATTTTCTTTATGACTGGTTTTAAACAATTTGATTATGTGTGCATTGTTACAGTTTTCTCAGTATCTCTTACTTTGATTTGTTGAGCTTCTTGGATCTATGGATTTAAACTTTTCATCAAGTTTGGTGAATTTCTTGTCATCATTTCTTCTTTCCCCTCTGTCCTTTGGCCACTCTAGTTATACTCATTTTTGGCTGTTTGAAGTGGTCCTACAGTTCATTGATGTTTTGTTCATTTCTTTGTCTCTTTTCTGTCACTTTGGATAGTGTTTATTGCTCTTTCTTTAAGTTCACAATTTTTTTTCTGCAGGCATGAATTTTTTTCTAAGCTGCCATGCATTTCACCCATGGTATTTTTCCATCTTCAACATTGTAGTTTTAATTGCTAGAAGTTTGACTTGGGCCTTTATAAATTTTTTAAGGTATTTTACTTTTTGGCTGTGCTGGGTCTTCATTACAGTGTACGGGCTTCTCATTGCGATGGCCTCTTGTTGCAGAACACGGGCTCTAGGGTACGCGGGCTCAGTAGCTGTGGCACACAGGCTTAGCTGCTCTGTGGCCTGTGGGAGCTTCCCAGACCAGGGCTCTAACCATTGTCCCTTGCATTGCAAGGTGGGATTTTAACCACTGGACCACCAGGGGATCCTGGGCCTTTATAGCTTTGATGTTTCCACTTAACATGTTCAATTTCTTGAATCTGTGGAATACAGTTATAATATCTATTTTAATGTGCTTGTCTACTAACTCTATCATCTATGTCACTTTGAGGTCCATTTCAACTAATTTTTTCTGCTCATTGTGGGTTATATTTCCCTGCTTCTTTGTGTATAACGTAATTTTTAACTGTATGCCATGCACGTGTGCTAAGTTGCTTCAGTCGTGTCCAACTCTTTGCATCCCTATGGACTGCACCTGCTAGGCGTCTCTGTGCATGGGATTCTCTAAGCAAGAAGACATGCCCTCCTCCAGGGGATCTTCCCAACCCCAGGATGGAACATGCATCTTTTATGTCTCCTGCATTGGCAGATTACTCTAGAGCCACCTAGGAAGCCCAATTGTATGCCATTATATGTACACTGAGAATTATAAATTGTTATGTGCTAAATAATTCTCTGTTCCTAAAAATGTTCTTGAGCTTTGTTCTCTGATACAGCAAAGTTACTTGGAAACAGTTATCCTTTCAGCTCTTGCTTTTAAGCTTTGTTAGGCAGAACCCCGCCCCCCATCTGCAATTAGTCTTGAGTATACCGTCCCCTCTACTGAGGCAATACCCTCTTTAGCATTCTAACCAAAGACCATGAAGTATGAGATTTTTTTCCCCACTGTGACTATTGGCAGTCAGCACTATTCTCAACCCTGTCTGAGCGCAGACACTGTTCTGTCTACTCCTTTTGAGGGCTCTTTCCTTGGCCTTGGGTAGTTTCCACTCATGGATGAGTGCTCCACTGAATACAGTCAGCCCTTTGAGTCTGCAGGTTCCACATCTGTAGAGTCAACCAATGCTGGATCGAAAGTATTTTTTTTTTTTAATACAGAACATTCCAGAAATCAAAACTCAAAATTTGCGGCACACTGACAGCTACTGAGATAGCATTTACATTGTATTAGGTACTATAGTAGGAGAAGGCAGTGGCAACCCACCCCAGTGGTCTTGCCTGGAGAGTCCCGGGGACGGGGAGCCTGGCGGGCTGCCGTCTCTGGGGTCGCACAGACTCGGACACGACTGAAGCGACTTAGCAGCAGCAGCAGGCACTACAGTACTCGAGAGGTGATTTGGTGTGCAGTGCCTACAAAATTTACTCCACTATCTACACAGGATTAAATCTATGCCATTTCATATAGGAGTCTTGAGCATCTCAGGTGAGATGTGGGGACTTGAAACGGATCTCCTGTGACTGCTGAAAGGCAGCTCTGCTCAAGGGGGGACCCTCTGCAGACCTCCAGCATTCCTTCTGTATGGCTGTGCTCTTCAGGACCCTGCCCCACAGACGCTAGCTGCCCTGACTTTCCAGGTCTCCCAGCTCCATTCCCAATTGAAGGAGACTTCCAGGCTCTGCCTGGAGCTCCTTCTCTGCCCCTAACCTGGAAGTGTTATCCAGGCAGTAAGCTGGGCTAATCAGAGCTTCCCTCTTTTCAGTTCCTGTCTCCAGTGTTTCATTGTGCTTCATGTCCTAGTGTCCAGTATCTTGAGAACCATTGTTTTATATACTTAGTTCAATATTTTATTTCTTTCAGGAAGGAGGGTAAATAATACTGTCTTGACCCACTTTCTTCTTTCTTCTAGTTGATTCTATAACTTCTTATTTTCTAAAGAGAATTTGTTGGGTTTTTATTATAAGAAAAAGAAAACCGTAGGTGGTTTTCTTTTTCAGTATTTCTGTATTTTAGAAAATGTAAGTCTGGCTGGGCCTTTCAGTTTATTAAATCAGTCTTATAATTAAAATGTGCATCCCTTGAACTTAAAAAAAATAGCACAGATGAGCAGGGTAAGAATGACTATCTGAACAATGTATTTCTTTATAGAACATAGACCTGGTTCTATATAGAGATTTCTGTCCTGATTTCACACAGGCTTATTTAAGCATAAAATTGGCCTCAGGCCCAGTCTTCTATTACCCTCACTGTTCCGCAGCATTTCACCCATGAGGTGTCTGCTGACCTTATGTCTTTGGTCACTTAGTAACTGAGCTTCCTGCTGCATAAGAAAGAAATAATAAAGCATAATAATAGGAAACAGAGATCCTTATACTCATTGCCCTGGGACTGTGGCATAAGAGGCCGATTGCAATTAATGTTAAAATCTCCAAATATTCATGTTGGGCTGAGTATGATTGGGTTTTCCTTTGATATCTCTGCCCAAAGAAAGCATCTGAAATGTCAGGTCCATTCTAATTTGGGTTATAGCACATCCTGCTCTACTTTTGCTGCAGTTTAGATAATTTTAGAATATATATGGATTCAGTCTTTAAAGTTACTAACTTTTTGAAAAGGTTAGTACACTGAAAGAAATTGGGGTTTGAGATAAGGCTCATGAAATTCCTTTGTCTTCGTTTTTAATTTATAGGTAGCTCCATTACAATGAGAGGTTCTCAAAGCCGTATCTTAAAAAGGCTAAAATTATCCTGAATTATAGCTATATAACAACACTATAACATCTATATAACAACACTAACACTATAACAACATCTCTTTTTTATTTAGATGACGATCTCGTGGATGTTTCTACACCTGTCCTACCAGAATTGAAAAAAGAAATATATGGCCACGTTCAGTTCTGTGCAAAACAGAAACTTGCTCGACACAGCTCTTTTAACTCAGAGCAGGCTTCTGAGAGGATACAGAGGAAAGTGAACTCAGAACCCAGCAGCCCTTACAGACAAAAACAAGGTATCTGCCTTTACTTAACCCACGGACTCTATCAGTCACCATGTAATGGTAGCCTGACCTGTGCACTGACGTTTTAAAGTGAGCTGACTGTAGGCTCTGCGTGAGATGGTGACTTCACAGGGTGGCCCTCGGCCTGAAATTGATTCTCGTTGGCCTTGAAGATTGAAGATTACTTGGTTTGCCATGGTTAACCTGTTTGCGTCTCAGCAATTCATCAGATTTATAAAGCAATACTTGCTTTGTTTTGTTTTCTTACTAATTTTTAATGAGACCTACATTCACCTCTTAGAGCTAGCTTCTGGACATGTCTGTCTCTGAATCAAAATCAGGATGGATTTGAGGTAGTCTTATAATCCTTGAGCTGTGAATAGTGAATCCTGCTGTACCTAACTGCTGTGTATAAGTCCCTTGCTCTATTTGTTAGAACTTTGTTTTCCTTTTTAGGATCAGGAAGTTACTCCTTGGAAATTGGAAGTCTGGCAGCTGTCTACAGACAGAAAATAGAAAACAACTCAAAGTAAGTAGTCTCCATCCTGGTTTTAACTGTGACTCAATTGAAATGCCACCCATCAAGGGTAAAGTTTAGCAGTCCTGCTCAAAAATCAGCCATTTGTTTATTAAGAACTTTGTAAGTTTCCCCCCTTGTGCCCAACACTGTGCAGGATTTGGCATCTGGGACCCAAAAATTGAAAATTTTTGTGAAAAATTTATCCCCTAGGCTATGAAAACTTACCAGGAAAAATAAATAAAAAGACAAATACACTGAGAAAAGACAAGTCACTACTAATGTGACAGAGAAATGATGTATCATAGTCCCATGAATCACTTTGTCATTATCCTAACTAACGTCATTTATGAACTACCGGGTACTATTCTTAAAAGGTTTGTGTGTATTATCTCATCCAATTATACAACCTTTTGAGGTTGGTGCTATTATCCTAATTTTACAGGGAGGCAGCCGAAATCCTGAGAGGTTAAGTAACTCGCCCAAAGTCACAAAGTTATTAAGTGAAAGAACTGAGATTTAAACCTACACTATCTGAATCAGATTTGGGGTTTGATTTTGAAGGAAATCACATATTAGCAGAGGAAACAGAGGAAATGCTGAAGAGAGAACGGAAGAGGTTTATAATGACAGACAAGGGAAGAAAAAGACTGTTGAGCCAGAGTCAGGGAGTGGATGGGAAGTCAGCCATAGTGATTTGTCCAAATAAGATAGAGGAAGAGCTTGGGGTATTGGAGGTGGGTAGGTCAAGTTGGCAGAATGCTTTGAAAGCCAAGTCGTAGAGTTTAGACTTACCAGATGGACACTAAAGGGTTATTGTAGCTTCACTGGAGACCATTCAGGCTGCTTTGAGCAGGTAGGGTTGGAATTAGAGCAGGACTGCATGTTAGGAGATCACAGAATAGTGCATTCCTTTCTTTCTGCTCGGCTGTGGTGCGGGTCCACACTGTCAGCTGGCGACGGGAAGAAATGGAAACCAGCATAAGACAGTGAGTCAGCAAGAGTTAATTTGAACGTGTGCTGTGCTGTGCGTAGTCACTCTGTCGTGTCTGACTGTGTGTGACCCTGTGGACTGTAGCCCGCCAGACGCCTCTGTCCATGGGGATTCTCCAGGCAACAGTACTGGAGTGGGTTGCCATGCCCTCCTCCAGGGGATCTTCCTAACCCAGGAATCAAACCCAGGTCCCTCATTGCAGGAGGATTCCTTACCATCTGAGCCACCAGGGAAACCCAAGAATACTTGAGTGGATAGGCTATCCCTTCTGCAGGGGAGCTTCCTGACCCAGGAATCGGGGTCTCCTGCATTGCAGGCAGATTCTTTAGCAGCTGAGCTACCCAGGAAGCCCAGTTTGAATGTGTGCTGCTTGAAAATTCTGTAGTAATACAGAGTGGAATGGGAGAACAACAGAGAATAATTTTGTAAATACATTTACTTCCTCGCTCATCGCTTACTTCATTCATCTCACAGTGAACGTGAGAAAAACAAGATGTGCCCTTTAAATCGCGTCTGGCCTCGTCTCTGTTATCTGCTGGACATCTCTCAGGGATTCCGTGTGCAGCCCACACTGGGTGACCTTCCATAGTTAGATGAGCCTCTGGGCTTGTGTTCCTCCCTCGTAGTGGGGGAGGGGGCTGAGAGTAGCTCGTGTTAAAGAATGATGTAAAACTATTACCATACCCTGCTGGTCATTATAGCATCTGTGTACCTGGGAAGGGGTACTTGCTGGGCAGCTGATGACTACTGGCTGTGGGAGAGGCCGAGAGGAGCCTCTGAGAGCCCCAAACTGAGAGCCCCTATCTTGTTGCAAAGCATCCATCCAGGTTATAATATGTGGTCGTCTGCTTCTGGGGTTGGCTCATGATCTCAGGGAGCCCATGATATTAAAGGAGCCCATGATATTAAAGGAGCCCTTTAATAGCAGGAGTGGGGGATTTCCCTGGTGGTCTAGTGGTTGAGAGTGTGCCTTGCGTTGCAGAGGACAAGGGTTCAATCCCTAGTCGGGGAACTAAGATCCCACTGAGATCTTACATGTTAGGGAGCAACTAAACCTGCAAATCACAGCCTGGAGAGCCTGCAACTAAGATCCAATGCAGCCAAATTAATAAAAAAAAAAAAAAAGTTTTTTTTTTAAGTAGGAGGAGAGAGCAGTGTTCCCTCAGTCCTGCTTTGGCTCCGCTCTCTTTAGGAAAGTGGAGCTGGAGGTCTGGAGACTGTGGTAACTGCATGGCCCCGCTCTGTTCCCTTCCTTACAGGGCGGAAGCTTTTGCCAGTCAGAGCGCGATGCCTCCATCGAGCAGCCTGGACCCCGCGGCTCCTCTCCCCAGCCTGTGTGTTGACTCGGAATACTGTGTGAACCCCTTGTCCGGCCAAGTCCTCCCTGCAGCCCAAACAGAGTCGAAGGCCTTGTCCGCGCAGAACGGTCTGAGCGGCGGCGGCGGCGGCGGCGTCTCCCTGGCCCCCGCGGCGCCGGACGGGGAGCCCCTGCCGTCGGCCCTGGCGGCCGCCCGGCCCCTGCTCTACGTGCCGCCCGCCCCGCTGTTGATGCTGTGCGGGGGCCTGCAGGAGGGGCCGCCGGCGCCAGGCGCGGGCTCCGAGGGCGCGGCGGCAGAGCAGCCCCCCGCGCCCTCAGGTCAGAAGCGCCTGAGCAGGGACTGGAAGCCCCAGCAGGAGGACGAGGCGCCAGCCACCAAGAGACAGAGCAGGGACCACGGGGCCGGTCCCCTCGCCCTTGTGATGCCCAAGGTGAGCGCTCGGCGGCCGTGCCGACTGAAGGCGCCTCGACCCGGTGTCTTCCTAACTGGGACGCGCAGGTAGTCACAAGCTCCTGAGTCTGGAATAGGAGGTGGTGCCTGTATCATTTTTATGGTTAAGGCCAGGACTGCCTCTTCCAAGTAACCTGGCCATAAAGTTCAGTTCACTTCAGTTGCTTGGTCGTGTCCGACTCTTTGTGACCCCATGAACTGCAGCACCGCAGGCTTCCCTGTCCATCACCAACTCCGGAAGCTTGCTCAAACTCAAGTCCATGGAGTTGGTGATGCCATCCAACCATCTCATCCTCTGTCGTCCCCTTCTCCTCCTGCCCACAATCTTGCCCAGCATCAGGGTCTTTTCAAATGAGTCAGTTCTTCACATGAGGCGGCCAAAGTATTGGAGTTTCAGCTTCAGCATCAGTCCTTCCAATGAACACCCAGGACTGATCTCCTTTAGGATGGACTGGTTGGATCTCCTTGCAGTCCAAGGGACTCTCAAGAGTCTTCTCCAACACCACAGTTCAAAAGCATCAATTCTTCAGCACTCAGCTTTCTTTATAGTCCAGTTCTCACATCCATACATGACTACTGGAAAAACCACAGCCTTGACTAGATGGACCTTTGTCAGCAAAGTAATGTCTCTGCTTTTTATTATGCTGTCTAGGTTGGTCATAGCTTTTCATCCAAAGAGCAAGCGTCTTTTAATTTCATGGCTGCAGTCACCACCTGCAGGATTTTGGAGACCCAAAAATAGTCTCCCACATTGCAGGTGGATTCTTTACCAGCTGAGCCACAAGGGAAATCCAAGAATACCGGAGTGGGTAGCCCATCCTTTCTCCAGTGGATCTTCCCAACCCAGAAATCGAACCAGGGTCTCCTGCATTGCAGGTGGATTCTTTACCAACTGAGCTATCAGGGGAGCCCTGGCCATAAAGTAGTCCTGGAATAAAAGTAATTTTTAGAAAAATCACACTTGGCATAAAATGCTAAAAAGTAAACAGAAAAAAAAAAGCGCCATTCATTGTTAACATGTTTATATATCCTTTCCCAGACTGTTTTGCCTTATTTTTTTAACACGTCAATGAAATAACCATCTGCTCCAGGGTGCCCCTGAGGTCCAGGTCAGGAATGCGGTGCCGCTGGCTCTGCGTCTGTGTCAGTGCTCATGTCACTGCTCAGGGAGCCCATTTTTCTAGAATAAAAGAACAAAACTCTGAGCTCTCTGCATCCCCTGCTTAGTAGCTTTTGGAGGTCAATGCGATATGACCAGTAAAACTCCCAGAAAGCAGAAGCACTGTCATCACAGCCATTCGTAGAGGGTCAGCGAAGCACACCTCATGGACATCAGTCCCTTAATTAAGACCCTTCCTCCTCTATGCGTTCCTCTTGCCAAAATGGATTTTTCTAGTTTTGTATATAGCCTGTGGCTACAGAACAGCAGGGAAAGACTGACTGGTATGTCTATATATGTGTGTCTCAGATAAACAGGACGGCTTTGAGTCAGCCCTGCAATTCTTATCCAACCCCTAAAAGCCTGCAGCCATCAACACCTTTTGTGTATTCCAACTCAGTCATTTATTTCACCTTCTAAACACCATGCTCACATACCCATTATTGAAATCTCCATCATTTCTGTGCCTAAGGAAAGTTAAGCCTGCAGAAGCCCCTGGCATGTCCTTGATCTTCAGACCATTCCTCTAAACATGACAGAAATGACAGGCATACACAAATCAGGGTGGCGCACAGTGGTGCCTGACCTTTTCATTTTATGGGTTAGCCATTTGGAGAAAACTGTTACGATAGTTCACTGCTGGGCATTTGATTTGCTTTTCTGTTTCTGGTTGGGTTTTGCTCAGAAACCTTCAGATTCCACAGACATTGCCTCTCCCAAGACCTCCGCACCCCATGAAGACACTCACATGAACAGGCAACTTTCTGCTACAAAAGCAGTTTTGGGAAAGGCTACCACAAATGGCTTCGTCTATTCTGAGTGGGAAAATCCTTCTAGAAATACAGAGATAGAAAAGCCTTTGAAGGAAAATGAGAGCACCAAAGAGCCCTCTCTGCTGCAATATCTTTATGTGCAGTCGCCAGCAGGTAAGAGGTATAACGTCTTCGAGTCCTTTGGGGTAGTCAGATTATACATTGCATGTTTGCATTTCTCTTTACATCATGTGACTGATGTCTTGAGGGGCTGTCTCTTGAGTCATTTCACTCCAGCCCCTGGCTTTCTCCATCAATGAAATGAAGATGGAGCATGCTTTCACTTTCACTAACCTCACAGATAATGGGAAAGTCATTAGGGCAGGTAATTTATTTTTAATGCATTCAACTTTCCTTGGTAAAAAAAAAAAAAGCACAAATATTCAAATGACATTTCTGTTTCTATAATTCAGCTGAGTCTGGCATCAGTTCAGTTTCACAATATGAGCCTCTTGGCCACCATGTGCAGCTCACACGCTGACCACTTAAATATCCCGAAGTGCTGACATGTCCTTGTGGTTGAGTGCCGGGACTGGAGTGAGGGGGCTGGACATTCAAACCTCTTCTGATCTGCGTGAAATTAAGTATCTAGCCCTCCTGAATTGGTAAAACAGCAATAATAAGAGCACCTGCTTCTTGGGGGTGCTATGAAAACAAGATTAAATTTAATAAGCTAATACATCTGGAGCACTTAGAATAATAGTGCCTGACACTTAGGAGATTCAGTAAATGCCCTCTTTTGGAATAAAGCTGAAATATAAGCTACCTAATTTTTAAGATATGCACTGTGTACATGAAGCTGCTCTTGATACAAAGAGACTCAGTCATTCTCAGTTTCTTGTTCCTGTCACAGCTTAGGTGGGCATCTGTTACCATTCATTTATCTAAAACACACTCTTTATTACTTCAGCCAGTACTTTGTGAGAGCTTCACCTAAGCATGATAGTGTTACTGATACCTTAATAAACAAAAAACAGACCCAGCTTCTTCAGAATGAAAATTTCAGTCCAGCAAAGGGATCAATAGCTTCTGGGCCATGGGTCCTTGGACGCGATGATGAAGCCTGTGGACTCCTCCTTAGGGTGTTTACAAATGCAGAAAATTAAAAACATAGGATTACAAAGGAGGCAAATTGCATTGACATCCAGCTGGGAGAATTATTTTAAATTATAGTGATAAGAAGATCTGCCAAGCCTCTCAACTTGTGGGGAGCTTTAGACTCAAGAAATCTTCCATCAAAGTAAGATTATATGAATACACCCGTGCTTTTAACTAGTGACGGTGTCAAGGTACTGTTCGTTCGGTTGTGATTTGTTGCCTGTGATCTTAACTGAGGGAAATATAAATTTCAGTTAGAAGTTGATCAAAAGAAAGATATTATTTTTCCCATCCAGGTTCAGTTTGGGTTCAGTGGAGCCCATGTTAATAAACTCTGCTGGGAGATGCGGGCATCCCCCAAATTTTCACACAAGTAAAGGTGGACGCGGGGAGGTGGCCATTGCCGCGAGGAAGTGAGGGGTGCCGGAAGAGCCCGGGGGGGCGTGGCCTGGTCTGGAGGTGGATAGTTTACTGCGGGCTCCCATTTCACAAGGCTCCGAACATGGGCGCTTGGATAGCATCTTCACTTTGCACTGACTTCCACCTTGTTCTGCTTCCGTTGCAGGATTAAATGGTTTCAACGTGCTCCTGTCTGGCAGTCAGAGGCCCCATGCTGTGGGCCTGCCCGTGGGCCCGCTGCCCCCGCTCAGCGTTCCGTGCGTGGTCGTGCCGTCGCCGACGCTGGGTGCCTTTCCTGTTCTGTGCTCTCCCACGGTGCCCGGGCCGGGGTCCTCTGCTCCCAGCCCTCTCCCGAACGCGGGACCTGTGAATTTTGGCTTGCCTGGCCTCGGATCGACAGCTCACCTTCTCATCGGCCCTGCCGCCCTGGTTAACCCAAAGTCGTCCACACTCCCCTCCACCGACCCTCAGCTTCAGGGGCCATGCTCACTTCACCTAAGCCCGGGGATGTCAAGGTCACATGGCAACGTGCAGCCGGGATCCCCCGCTTATGGAGGTCACCCAGCCCCCGCAGTAAAATCACAACAGGTGAGTCCTGAGGGTCCATGCTAGCCTGGCACAGGGCGGCGCAGCACGCCGTGATGGGGTTCGCCTGCATTGCATCAGGCTTCCAGGTGGCGCCAATAGTTAAGAGCCCACCTGCCAATGCAGGTTCAGTCCCTGGGTGGGGAAGATCCCCTGGAGGAAAAGTGCCAACCTGCTGCAGTACTCTTGCCTGGGAGATTCCATGGACAGAGGAGCCTGCCAGGCTACAGTTCATGTGGTCGCAAAGAGTCAGACACGCCTGAAGCCACTTAGCACAAACACAGTCAGACTTTAGTCAAACAACTTTCAGACGGGGATCCAACACCAGATTCTAGCTAGCGTCCACTGTAGACCCAGAGGCATCTGCTCATTTCATTAAGTATTGAGACTGAAGGGGGAGATCCTGTGCTTTGAAGGCAAAAGTAGTTTTAGGTGTCAGTCTGTTTCTTAGAATCAGAAGGGACTTCATCGTTCAGGGGGATTTTTGATGCATGCTGACTATCCAGGTGATTTCTCCAAGCGCTCATTTCATTAGGTCAATAAAGGAGACTATCCTGAATTTTAGTTGTGCAGCTATAGAAATAGTCAAGGGAAATGAAAGTCTTAATACTAGCTCAAAGATTGTCTAGATCAGTTCAGTCGCTCAGTCGTGTCCGACTCTTTGTGACCCCATGAATGTTAGCATCTATCATTTCTTAAAATGCATTGTTTAGGAGGCAGTGGACATATTAATACATACCCATTGTTTCCATGATGTGTGTGTGTGTATGTATATACACACATACTCACAAAATATACACAGATGTACATATGTAAATGTCTATAACCAGTATAAATTAATCAGTACTTTATTCACTTCCCCCAGCTCCATCTGTAGTTCAGTCAGTAAGCATTTGTTGAACTCCTGTTATGCATGAGGCATTGTTCAGAATAATTACTTTCTCTCCCAGAGAAAGGGTTATGCCATGGCCACAACTATTTTTAGACAAGTAATCTGAAGCTCAAAAGTTTGCTAGACGTTGAAGTCAACATGTTTTTAAACAAGGGGATTGTAACATACCATATGCATATTTTTGATGATCGGTTATATGTTAGGCACTGACCTAGGCAGTAAAGATACTGGTAAACAGGATAATGTTTCTTGCCCTTTTAGGGCATGTTAAAGGGATAAATGTTTAACATGAGAAGATAAATATTAGCAAGTAAACAAAAAGAGCAAAGACACATACACGTACTACTCACTAGGAATGATCTAAAGTGCTTTAAAAATATTCTCTCATTTAAGTCTCACAGTCCTGTTAATTCAGTACTTTGGTCATCCCCGTCTTCGGATGAGGAAACTGCGGGACAGACCGGTTAAGTGACTTGCCCAAGGTCACACAGCTAGTTATGGCAGAGTCCAGACCCTGGCTCCAGCCGCTTGTGACCGCTTCGCTAGGCCACCTTTCTGCAGAAAATAAGTCAGCTAATTTCCAGCTGCGATGAGTGTTGTGAAGGAGACACATTGGATGAATGTGACAGAAAAGCAGAGAGGCTGGAGCGCCTGCATGGGGATCACAGCCACGCAGGTCAGGAGGGGGCTTCCAGTTCAGAGACTTGAGGCGATGTGAGGTCACTTCCATTTTTATGTACTTTTCTCTTTCCTGTTTCAGTCTCCAGTTCCAGTGACCCCCAAGAGCATCCGGTGCACACACCAAGAGACGTTTTTCAAGACGCCTGGCAGCCTCGGGGACCCTGTCCTCAGGGGAAAAGAAAGGAATCAGTCACGAAGCTCCAGCTCGGCACAGAGGAGACTGGAAATCCCCAGCGGGGGTGCAGACTAACCTGATGCTTTGCCCAACAGAGGTGAGGATCCAGGCGCCTGAATTTCCCTTTGTCACAGGTCATGTCCTAATGCTGAACCAAAACCAGCATGCATCCTTCCTCTCTCCTGCATCCCCTGGTTCTAGTGTTAACTGTCCATCTTCATGAAGCATCTATATTCCTGCAAGTAATTGTTCCTCATTGTGCATTTCATACCAGTTAGTGTCCGACTCTGTACGTGGTGTCACAGTGGAAGCATCAGCTGACTTCTGTCATTTTCATTCAGGAATCATCTTATTGCTGGAAGGAAATCTGAATAGCCTCCTGGAACCTTGTGGTTTTTCTAAAGGGGAGGGGCGCGTCTAGCACTTAACTGGGGTGAATGTTCTTGACGTGTATTACCGCTCACCCCGAGTAGATCTGTGGTGAGAGAGACTTCCTTTCTGCAGTTTAAAAAAGCTACTGCTTCCTTTGGCTTCATCAGGAAGCCAGCTTCAGTTGTGAATCCTATGGTATTATTTATTTTGTTCGTGAAATGGGATTTAGTGCAAAAAAGTTTACAACGACAGCAAAACACATATTTTTCAGGGTATGACGACTTGAATGTTTGTACTTTTTTCCTATAATTTGCCCTGCACTTACTTTACAACCTAGTAATAATGTGGATAAATATATATACATGACGGAATGTCAAGACCAAAATAACTGTGAATGATACACCTTGCTATAATGAACTGTGCTAACCCAACCTGGGTGTGAGTATTAAGATGAATTCTAGCAGCCAGATAGCTGCTGCTCAATAACTGTGTGAACAGTGAGGTTTTACTGATCATTTGCTTAAAAAAAAAAAAGGAAAAAAACCTACCGTGTTCAGTTTTCTTCACTACATGCCCTTGTGGTTTTTTATTTAAATGTTAACTGTAGAGTATCAGGTATGGGACGTCTTCTAGCAATTGCTTTTTTATTGAATAAATCAGGATGGTAGAAAGGAATTCTACAGAAAATTGAGACCTAGTTGGGATGTTTTAGTAGAATTCTGAAGAATGACAATGTAAAGATTGATATAGGACAATAGGTGATGCTTTTTTTTTACTTTTTTTCTTCATGTTGGGAAGAGTAAGAGGGAAAACAGACACATGTTTAGAATCCCAAAGTATTCAAACCACAGTGATTTTTTCATAGAAGTTCTGCAAAATGAGAACAGAGTGCAGGGGGTCATTGTTCTAGCATAAATGGAATTCTAGAGACTTATCAGTATCCCTTTGTCAAACTGTATTCCTTGAGGATTTCATTCAGTAGCCGAACTAGATCTTTGCGTGCCTAGATGTGTTGATACTTACCTCGTGGTCTCTTCAGAACAGATGGCTTCCTCCTCCCCCTACAACTCTCCCTCCCTCTCCCCCTTCATTTTCCCCTCCTTTCCTTCCTTCCTTCCTTTATTCCTTTCTCCTTCTTTAAACTTTTAAAATTTGGAGTCTTGGTGTAGGATTTTATTTTTATTTTTGGACCCAAAATGTTATATGAAAGAATAAAAATATTAATTTAAGAGACTCTGGGAGTCTAATAAAGTAGCTTTATATTAACTACAGGATGGTATTAGCCTTATCACCCCCACGAGATTGTTGAAAACTTGAGGTAGGTAGCCAGATTAAATAAATTTGCTATTATATAAGATTTTTATCAACACTAAACTTTTAAAGTTTACAAGATGGTTTTTTCCCCCCTTTTCATAGTCTTCGCTAGAGATAAACAGATAAAAAGTCCAGTCCTCATCTTCTGCTAGTCTAATTGTATGGTAATGATTACCCTGAAGTAATAGGATGGATTTCCTATCGAAACAAAAATATCCTTTTTTCAAGTAGATTGTAAAACACACGGCATATAAATCCATACAAGATACATACATTTTAAACATATCATGCTTCAGACCATCCACAGAATATTTTCACTTCAGAGGGCTACATTTAGATGAAAATACAGACTGATTTCCCCCTCACTGTTCTTGGATGCCTGCCACTTTAACTTCTCAATCCTTTTTTAATTCTGTTCGTGGTATGACCATATAAACCTCAGAAGATTTACGGTTCTTGAGGAGTGTTAACAGACAAACCCATAAATGAGATTATGATTCTGTGACCATACTTAGCAATAGAAAAACCAAGAGCAGGTTCCTTTTGTATTCAGTACCCACTTCTTCACGTGGCTCCGTGGTGTGTAGAAATAATAATGCAGTGATCATTTCTCTCGGAATATGAATCTGTTTGTTACAGAGCAGCTGATGGTAGTGGAACAGCTGAGCTAGAGGTGGATGTTAGGGGTGGTGAAGAAGCCTTGGTGGCAATCTTGAGTCTATCATTGTGTAATTTTGTAAAAGAAAAAAAAAAAAAGATTGTCCGTGACCCTGCTAAGGAAATGCAGCTCTGAGTCAGCACTGAGGGAGGTGTGTGTGTGCCCTGCACTGTCCAGGGTTTGTGAAACCCTTTCATTCTGGTACAAGAGTTGGGGGTATAACTTTTATACTTGAATCTACCTACCAAGTTTACATTTCTCGATTCCTTTTTGTAAGGTGCTATTTCTGTATTTAAAGAACGTTTTTTCCCAGTGTAAAGCTGCTTTCCGCTTTATCTTATTGCACTGCTAGTTTTGTGTAGGTATTTTATTGCTGCTTACTGCTTTCTTTTGTATCACGTAGCTCTGCTCTGTCTTCTAATGGCTATATTATCTATATAATTTTTTCATTTTTTCTTTTAGCAAAGTATTAAGCTTTATAAAATATCAATAAAAATTAATTCATTTTAACGAGAGGTGTTGGTTGTATTTGTTGGTGAGCTTTCTGTAGATACTGATTTCATGGTAAAACCATTCACTGTTACAAAGTAGCCAACCAGACCTTCATAAACCCAAGTCAGATCTTTTTCCTGAGCCCTTCCGGCGGTTCCCAAATGCCAAAACTTAGAGTAGCAGAATCATGTGGGAGGTTGGGCAGGTTGAGGGACTCTGCTGTTGAGATTTTCATTTCTACCAGAGGTAGAATCACTGTGGGTTTGACGTTTCCAGATGATGTGAGGCTTAACCAATACAAGAATCACCAGTGAGATCACCTCCCTGGCTTCTCATGATCTGTTAGGTTAAATGGTTCTTAGTCTAGCAAATGCTCACCCGTTGTTCAAAGCCAGATTCCATGGTTAACCCTTGCTTGAACCTCCAAGAGACTTTCTCTGACTTTCCTTAGCCCACATTATCTCCAGAGCCAACTGGAGATGCCATTGCTGTCAGTCTCCTCTGCTAGATTGTCAGGCACGGAGGAAACCAGCTTAGAAACTCCAACCTCAAACCCAGCCCCTGGGGCTCTGAAGAAGCCCCTAAACTGGTGAATGGACGGACCACAGGACCTGCCACAATAGGGCTTGTCCCTTCCAAGCCTTCAGTTGGATTCAGCTTGTGCCTGAGACCTCTTCCTTCCAACAAATCACTTGTCCCATTCTTTAGCCCTCATCTTTCAGAGGTATCTAAAGTGACCCAGGACAGATCTGCTTCTACACACAATCAGGGTTAGGATTTTGCGTGAGTGCCCATTCATTTCAGTCATGTCCAATACTTTGGGAACCCATGGACCGCAGCCCGCCAGGCTCCTCAGCTCTTATAACTCTCAGGCAGGAATAAAGTGGGTTGCCATTTCCTACTCCAGGGGCTCTTCCCAACCCATGGATCAAGCCCGGGTCTCCTGTCCAGGCAGGCGGATTCTTTACCACTGAGCCACCCGGGAAGCCCATTGGGATTTGACTAGCATCGATTTAGTGGCGTCATATATAACAGAGTATTGCAGGCATCCAGCAATCAAGATCCAAGTATCTTCTTGAGTGTGCCCATCCTTGTGTCTAACCATGTAAAGGGTATATTGAACAGGCAGAACTCATGGGATAATCGTGGAAGCAACTTGATTTTGTCTGCCAGTGTCCCTTTAAGCCTGGTCAATGGGGGTAACACATATACACTTGTATGAAGGTAAAGTCAGGTGCGGGGGCCTCCCCGTTACGTAAATAGTAGAAGTTCTGTAATCTTAAGGCATTCTCGGTTCATGATGCAGGATGAGCATTTAAAATTTCTGCTGCCTGGGCTCTCTGTAGCCCGGTCACCAATGACAATCCTTCGTCTCTTCTCTGCTGGGTGTTGCTCCTTTTGCAGTGAGCTGGCCTAGATATCTGTGCCCAGGAAGATCAACGCAGGTGCGGTGCGAGAGGTGAAGGTGGCAGTGAAGCTGAAGTGGTCAGGCCTCTCACGTGCTGGGCCTGGTATGTGTTGGAGCTGTTTTAGCGGACAGCTGCTCAGAAGCCTCTGCCTGGGAACACTGGCCAGAAGAAACCGTCTTCCTCCAGCTGCTGTTCTTCCGTCGCTGGTTTTCCAACATCTACTCCACACAGCTGCCTGCTGGGCAGGACTTAGAACAGTCTATCTGCCTATCTGCCACTAGCCCACATCCAGTGCCTGATTCTTGGAGAGAAGGCCCAACACAGCTCACGTGGCCTCTCCCTCCCCACTGTAGCTTCAGGCCCACACAGGTCCCCCAGGCCAGAGTCATGCACGAGCACCCCTCTCAACTGCAGGCAAGAGTGAAGTGAGCAACACCCTACCCTTGCCCTTGCTGGCTCCCAGGAGGCAGAGGCGAGGAACCACAGCATAATTCTCCACAAAATCCGTTTCTATTTCCACTTACTCAGCCCTTTCAAGGCTCTTTCAAGGTCTTGTGGGTACAAGGTCTCATAATGTGTAACTGGTTTGCAAAACCCCCTTTATCAGTTTTACAGAATGCAACTATAACTTGCTGCTTCAGCCAAGCTCACCATTTAACATCCCGTTAAAACAATTCTAATCTTCCATTGTCCAAGATTTGCCTTTTCCTAGGTGAATGTTAGGGAACTTAATATCTCATCTTTAAGAAATTAATTTTTGATCACTGTTAATTTTTTAGTGTTAAGATCACTTTGGTGAGTTTGATGTTCTTTCTGTCCTGAAAATGTTA